ATCATTCCGGATTAAGGGTGTCCGAATTAACGACTTTTGACTGTATATCACTCTTTACCCGGCTTTTATTTTCACAGCCGTTGCTCATAGTCCTTCCAATTACAAAATTGTATAAATGATGAAAATATTCTTGTTTTGGCAGTGCCAAATTTCAAAATAATTTTCAAGAAATAATGATATATAACTTTTAATGCTTTCCTGCGATTCCTATATGTATATTTGGGAAAGTTTTATAGTGGTGGTTATGGAAAAACAAAAGTATATAAGAAGTTTGACTCAGATATGTAGGCTACAAATTGATCAGGATATTTAATTTGAAAATTTGCAATTTTTGTCATTTTCAACTTGCTCTTGTGGGATTGGTTAACCAAGGCAGAATAATTCCAGGAAAGAAGTTTAAATGAAGTGCGTGTAATTTAATTTAACACTATTTGCCTGAACTAACTGTGGCTAAGTCTTTCCTGATCACACGTTTTTGGGTGTGTGTGTGAACTATTTTCTGCCTTTAAAGGAAGAACTAATAGGGTCATTGTGTATATACTACTACAAGGTGCCACTATTAATTTCCAGGACTGATACATACGAGAACCGTACATCACCAGAATGCGGTAATGCTTGTATTTGGAAGGTTGTATATTCGCACGTATACAATGAAGCCATTGCTGTCCTGTAAACACATATTGAAACGTATGTGTTAAAAATTTTCGTCTAAGTTGATATGGAGCAGAGAATTAACATTAAATTTTGCTTTATATTGGCCAAAACTGCTACCGAAGCCTGTGAAATAGAGAGAAAGTGTATAAGGAGTAAGCATTATCCCATCCACATACTTTTGAATGATTTAGCCGTTATCAGGACGGTCCGCGAAAGTGCCAAAATGACGTGCGTATTGGATGGCTGCATTCCTTGTACAAGCCAGTAGCTATTGAAAGAGTAGTGCCGAAATGACGTGCATATTGGATGGCTGCATTCCGTGTACAAGCCAGTAGTTATTGAAAGAGTTCGTGACCTAGGATAGTCGATTTGCTATTGGAATAATCGACAATGAGTTGAATATTTCCAAGGAGGTTGTTCGGCAAATTTTGACACAGGACCTAGGGAAACGCAAAGTTTGTTCCAGATTCATTCCTCACTGTTTATCGGAGGAACAAAAGCAATTCAGAGTGGGCTTCATGCAATGTTGTTACCTATGCTCATTTGTCTGACAGTAACATCAGCCCAAGCCCAAAAAATTTCTCGTGGTAAGAAGTGCAAGATTTGACTGCTGTTAGCAACAGCCTTGAGCTGCATAGTGACAAGTGACAGTGCGATTTAACTCAGTTCCTCCCCCAATTTTGATGGAGAGCACCCGGGAGGGAAAGGTCCGAGGGTCTCCCACTGCTCTCCCCTTCCATCCAACCACATAAGAGGACTTTCGGCTTGCCGCATATTTAGAGTGTCGCACTGAAATTATACAGTGGTACCTCGAGATACGAACACCTCTATATATGAGGAAAGTATGAGCGAAGCATTCATCTTTAAATATGAGCACTGACTCAAGTAACGAGCAACGAGTCAGGCTATTGGCATGTGGGGCGCGTTTCCTGATCCGGCTCGACTTCAGAAATCTCCTCGTCAGATCACTCAAGTGTTCTTTGATCTACGTGTTTGTGCGCTTGTGAGTTACGCTTGTGTAGTTTTTTTACATTTAACGTGAAAATAATTATTTCACGATGCCTCCCAAGAAGATTATTGCCTCTGGTAGTGCTGCAAATTAAAAGAAGGAAAAAGTGCTGCAAATTAAAAGAAGGAAAAGTGCTGCAAATTAAAAGAAGGAAGCCATGGCTAATGAAATTTATAAAGAAATCATAGATAAACTTAAGTGTGGTGTTTGAGTGAGGGAATTATCGAATACCTAATGGCCAGTCGACATTGATGATTTGCACTATTCTGAAAAAGAAAAAAAGAAAAATTAAGAAACTTGATGCGACCAAAGGTGTTACTGTTACTTCTAAGCAGCACCCAAAACTCTTAGAAGACGTTGAGAAGCTGTTGTTGGTGTAGATAAGAAGGAGTTAAAAGGCAATTTGGCGTCATAAGCTATTATTTCTGCTAAGGCTAAGAATCTGTACTTTCTCTGAAAAACCATTGACTGAAGGTACATTGACCCAGGTACATTGACTGAAGGTACATTGACTGACACCCAGGTACATTGACTGAAAATGAGATGGCATTTAAGGCAAGCCGTGTATGGTTCGAAAAATTTTAAAAGCAAACCAGTGTTAACAGTGTATGTTCTACATGCGGAGGTTGTGAGCTCTGGTATAGCTGCTGCTGATAAATTTTGGCCAGAATTCCTACAGTTTATTACTAGTGAGGGTTTTCAGCCCCAGCAAGGGTTTAATTGTGATGAAAAAAGTAGTTTTTGGAAGAAAATGCCTAAGAGGATCTACATCATGCAGAAGAAAAAATATAGACCTACCCTCTTGTTTTGCGGCAATGCAATTGGAGATTGTAAAATCAAGCCGTTGCTCGTCTACCTGAAGAAAATCCATGAGTAATGGGAGGATGCAGAAAAACCAACTGAATGTGATGTGTCGGGCCAACACCTGGCCTGTGTAATACGGCAATTTTTCATTGAGTGGGTTAGTGAAGTTTTTGGTCCTTCAGAGTATTCCTGACTTAGGTTTCGATCCTCAACCTGTGGGCAACACAGTACAGCTAGTCAAAGAAATTGTATCTCTGGGGAGAAGTGTGGATTTGGATGGTGCTGATCTGGATGAGTTAATGGAGAAACACACTAAAGAACTTAGAACGGGTGAACTTAAGGAACTTCACAAGGAGCAGCAGAGTAGGTGGTAGAAGAGCTTTCGTTAGGAGAGGTGGAAACAGGAAATGAAGCCTTCTCTTCCAGTAAGATTAAAAGGCAAAGTGGAAAGAAGCGAAAACTTTCTTTGAAGGAAATCATCCTAATAAAGCAGTGTGTGGGGGCGCATCATGAATTTGTGTAGTGACAATGTAGTGTCGCATTTTAGAAGTAACTTACAAAGGAGACAGAAGCAAATTTTGACAAGTTTTTGGTAAAGCAACCTGCAACTAAAAGAATATTAAGTGATTTTGACCCAGAACCTGCTTCCAGTGGGTGCTTTCAGAGAGCCTTCCTGAATCAGAGGGAGGACTCCCCTTCCCCACATCCCTATTGCCAGTCAGGACACTTTGTAATGGTAAACTACGGTTGTATTATTTACCAGTGTTCATTAGGAAAATTGATTTTTTTGTCGGTATTTTTGGGGACGCGGAACAGATTTTCATTGTTTTCAATGGGTAAGTTTGTTTCTGGATACGGAAAATTCTCTATACGAGTTCAGTGCTGCAACAAATTAAAAATCTCGAGGTTCCACTGAACATTTACAAACATCCATCCTTCTCCGGAATTCGAACCCGGGCCCTTCAGCATGGCAGTCAGCGATGCTAACCACTATACCAGTTGGGTGGCCCACATGCGATGAACTCCTTGACAACACCCTGTATTTCTCGATTCGATAGTAATAGGAGAGAAGTATTGGTGCTACCATTATGACACTGGAAGCAAACAACAGAGCTCCAAATGGCGGTCTCTAAGCTCACCAAGTCCCAAAACATTTCGATTCAAAAAGTCCAAAATCAAGGTAATGCTAAATCCCTTTCTTAAATAAAATAGTAAAGAACTAAATCACTGGAGAGTTTTATCCAGAAGTTCTTGCCAGACTTTGACAAAGAGTTTGGAGACTAAGGCCTAGCTTTCAACAGAATGGGGGTTGGCTGCTTTTGCTGACAATGTCCGGCCCCACATTGCATTACCTGTGAAGCAGTTTTTGGCCAGCATGCGGTCTTGGAGATGCAGCATTTTCCATACTGTTTGGATTTAACACTGCGAAACTTTTCTTGTTTTTAAAAATTTGCTGAAGGGAACAGGATTTGTGGATGTCGAAGCCATTCCTAAAGAGAACTTTAAAAAAGCTGTTTCTGAAACTTGTACACTTGAGCACAGGAGTGAATTAAGTCTGGTGGGAATTTTCAAAACGTATTAAATGGATTTGTATTCCTTATGGAGTTATTATAGATCAGTTCTGGAAATTAATGGAAATTAATGGTAGCGCCTTGTATGACAGTGCATTAAATATTTGTTTAGAAGTATATTTTTATATCTGTATTATTTAAAATAATTTTACTAGTATATAATTATTATTATACTGTATACGTGTCTGGAAAATGTAGTCAAAGGGTAATTAATTTTTTCTCAATGTAATTATATTCGTGATGAGATGTAATAATGTATGATTTTGTTTTTTGCAAATATATTATTAAATCTGTATAATAATTAGCGATTTTAGCTTCGAATACAGCAGATTTTGTGAAATATATATAATTTAGTTCCTAGTTTTTTTAAATACTAGTTTAAAATAATTAAAAAATATGTAAGATATTTAAACTATTAATTTAAATATCTATGGAGTGACCCTCACTGAAAATGGCACTGTGCCTGCACATGCTTTGATATGCATGTAAAACATTTATCTCCTGAACCGAGATTTCACAATTAACTCTTCTACATGCATTCATATATATATTTTTTACCTACATCATTATTTATATTATAAAATACACTAGTGAACTGTGTTTAAGACAGCTAACTACCAACAATTCTACGTGATTTTACATTTTTATGGGAAATGTTCATCTTAGAATGTTTTTGAGTAATGCTGTTCATATTTAGAGATGTCACCAAGGCTTGATTTTCACAGGGTCTAATGGAGCATGGGGCCCAGCTATCCTTCTTATCCTCCCAGCCATCCTAGTCGTGCCTTCCAAATCCTCTTAAAAAATGTAATGTTTTCTTCCCAATTCTAAATTCTAAAACTGTAAAATTAGAATATTATAAAATACGTCAAAATTCCAATGTGTGTTCATTTAAGATGTTTTGTAAAATTATCCTGTTAATAAAAATGAAATATTTAATTTGTAATAAAATTTAATTGCAGGGGCTTCGAACTCTCCCGATACTGCCGACAACATCTTCCGAGAAGTAAGTTTATATTATTATTATTATTATTATTATTATTATTGTTGTTGTTGTTGTTGTTGATATTTCTTCTTCCCCCATATAGAATATTTATAATTTTAAAATAATAACTTTTTGAAAATTTATTTATTGCTTTGAACATTTATTTATTGCTTTATACTTGCTGTTTACCACTTTATGCCCACCCATCTTCCAGTAGTGAAGCATCACAGCTAATTTACAGGTGGGCATTAAAATTACTATACCATCAAGGTGAAATGAAACAAATATAATATTTGCATAATAGATGCAGCATACTGGGATCTTCAACTACTTTGATAGATGCCCTGGCCATGAGACAGCAATCTCCTACTTCCCACTTGCCTCCTATTTCTCTCCTAGGGAACTTCACGTGATGTGCCTATGAGGCATAAGCTGAATTAGCTCAGTTTTTCCTTCTAGGAGAAGTACAACTCCTTGATTTCAAAGGAGGCCAACTTCATCTAGCTTATAAAGGCTTAAATTTGTTGGCCAAACAAGCATAAGCATTCTACCATTCTGGTTTATCATTTGTGAACTGCATTTGAGCATTGGTTGTTTGTATAGAAAATAGTGTTCTACCTTGTTTTTTACTAGCATGTGTTGAAATTCGATCGTGGCTGGATTATTTACGATTGTGGATTATTGTTTTGCAACATTACTGCTTGTGTTGGTTGGGATCTTGTGACTCTCGGATGAGTATAGAATCCTTGGGTCCAGGAGAGCCATACTGAATGCCATGCAGGATTTAGTGGCACAGGACCCTCTAATATAGGAGAGGACAGACATATTCTCATCTTGGCCGTGCTAGATTGTTATCCGCATCATGTACTATGAATCAGGAAATTGACCGTGCAGAACAACAAGTGTCTTCACGGTTAGTGTGACGAGTTTGCAGAACTGGGGACTGCTAGAAAGGCAACTATTGTTGCGGTTTTTCTTGACACACTTACAGAGATTGGTGCAGTTGCAGTTGTGCAATGAGCAGTGACATTGAAGACAGGACTGGCACCGTATTCTCTTTTTAGACGAGACAAATTAAGGTTCTGCATATAGCAACATAATGGATGTATCATGTGTGCAGGCACCGAGAACAAACATTGCCACCTTGAATTCATATGGGGTGCCGTGAGTATACATCCCTGTCATCTCTTATAGCCAGTAATATGGATAGCTGGCGTTACATTTCTGACTTAAAAATACTCACATTTCTGACTTAAAAAGACTCACATTTCTGACTTAATAAGACTGATGTCGAGGCTACGCCATATCTTTGAGACCAGTGTGACGTCATCTTTCAGGAAGATGATGCATGACTACATGTTGTCTGCTTGTGGCCTGACCTTTCTTGATACAGAGGATGTTCTACTGTTGTCCTGGCCAACATGTACTTCAGATCTCTAACCCATTGAAAACATCTGGTCATGATATACTGAGAGCAGCCACTGCAGTTGACTTATTTTGGTGTAGAATTGAAACCACATGGAATCAAGTACCGGTATCTGCCATCCAAATTCAGTTCAGTGCCTTGCTAGACTACAAATACATTGTTGCCAGAGGTGGTAATTCTGTGTTATTGTTAACCCCAGAAAATCTGCAAATTTAATCATGTAATAATCATGTATACCGAGGCTTATATTTCTGGCCTAATAATAATAATAAAAAAACAAATGTTTATGATCGAAATTGGTTTTATTGCTTTTCAAAATATTCTCCATAAAGATCAATGCATTTTTGTGTGCGTTTGAACCAATTTTCGAAGCTTTTTTCCCACTCCAGTTGAGGTAACTACTAAACATGCATTTTTAATTCATCAACTGCTTCTTCGGGTGTCACAGGTTGCTGAGACCATGTAATTTATTTTTGGAAAAAAAAAAAAAAAAAAAAAAAAAAAAAAAGCATTGGCTTCCAAATCAGGGCTGTATGGCGGATGACCCATCAATTCAATGTTTTAGACTTGTCAAAAATTCCTTTGTTTGAGCTGATGTGTGAAAGCTTGCATTGTCATAATAAAAAATGATTTACCTACTCTTCCACTTTTTTCGTATATCTCCTAGGAGTCCTGGTAAACAAATGGTAGTGCACCATTCAGAATTTTCTAGCTAATGTTGCCACATGACCGATAATGCCAAAGAAACAGGCAAATTTTGCTTTGCTTCTTCTGTAAACAACTTTTGTTAAATTTGGCTCGCCTTGGAAGACCCATACAGTCGACTGCTGTTTTGTTTAAGGCTCCCCTTTAGGAGGTTTACAGGGGGGCGAATTTAGCAGAAGCAGCTGCCATCCCTGGCAGCTAAAATGGCTGTTGCCCGGTTAGGCATGGAGTCAGCCTAGGCTTGGATGACAGAAATGGGCAACTCATTCCGTGCTGCTTTAAGTTTCTGTGCTACACTTCATCAACCATATTTCCTAAAGAGGATTGGCAGGCCAATCTCTCAACAACCCAATGACGAGATGTTTTTAGTGGGTAACAGATCTGGAGACCGTGCAGGCCGGAGCAGCAGTCGAATACCTTATTTATCAAGGAAGGTCAGAACACAACGTGCAACATGTGATTTTGTTTATCTTGTTGGAAAATGGCGTTTGGGGTCCTCGAAGATAGGGCACAACCACTGGATGTAATATGTCAGAAATGTATCCATCTGCATTCATATTACCGTCGATCCAAACTGGAGATGTGCTTGTCGTGCACCCAATGGCTGCCCAAACCATCACACCAGGTGCAGGGCTCCTATGCCAATATGCTCAAATTGCAGCAGTGCAAGCAGGCAACATGTGGTTCCTCAGGCACTGCAGACACGTATACAGCCATCTGAATACTGCATGTAGAACCGGGAGTCGTTTGAAAAGGCAACATTGTGCTACTCCTGTACCCAGCTTAGGTGTTCGCCGCACCAGACTCGCCGTTTCTCTCTATGCTGCATTGTCAAGGGAAGCCGAAGTAATGGTCACCCTACTGATAGTCCACACTGCTGCAATTGTCAACGCACCTTACGAGCTGATACTGGGTGTGTTGCAAACATGCCCATTTCCTGACTAATGGTCCATTATATGGTCGTATATTTGCAGGGCTAACCTCACAATATGTCTGTCCTCTCTGGTGTTAATCATGGGAGGGCATGAGATCCTGCATGCTGTTCAGTATGACCCTCAGCAGTCAATTGATTCTATATTCGTGAGACAGTGGTTGGATGTCGACCAGTGAGACTGACGATATCAGAGAATGATAATCTACGCTTTCGATAGGCAACGATCCTGCATCTATTGAATTTTGAAACTTGCTGGTAAGCATTTTTCTTATTTGAGGCCTAACACGATATTCTAAGCAAACTCCAACCTAACATGAAAATCTTTAAGGAGTTGAAGCTCTGCTGAAAAATTAAGATTATAGGGACAAATCTGTTAAACACTGAAGTAAATGACTATCTCAGCAAATTGGCGTTATTTCTCCAAGCTTTTGATGGTTTCTCTTTGTTGCCAGATTTGGCGATTTCTTGACTAAAATCGCCTACCTTGGCGACGATTTGACTACGTTTTGAGCTGCTCCCTGTGTAACTGTTATTTCAATTTTCGAGCAGTTTATGGAGAATAGTTTCCTAGTATATGTAAATTAAGTCAGTGTTTAAGTTTTAATTTTGTCTCAAAGACGCATCCATCTTCTCTTGTTCTTCCTCTCTACAGTATTTGTTTCTGTAACATTACTCATAGATTTCAATAGGCGTCATTATAAAACCGAAGACTGATGGCTGTACACTTGATTTATGTAAGATTGAACAGTTAAATTTTAAAGCATGATTTAATAATGTTTATATATTCAAGATTACGTCTAGTCAAATAATTGATGTTGTTGTGGATAAAAAACTATAAATATTGGACACCATCTGTTTCCGCCCCATTTCTCGTTGATTTAGTTAATGCTGATATTTTATGATAATTTTTCCATCTCTCCACAAGAAGGAATTTTAGTTTCAACCTACAAGGCCTGTTTAATCCAGTCCAATTAATCCGCCTGAGTAATTGGGAATTGACTGTGCATCATTTAAATAAAATTTAAGAACTGCCTTTCACAGTTTTACATTCCATATGCTCTTCAAAACAAGTCACTTTTTCCATGTTAAATTCCATACCGCAGGCAAAAGTGTTCTCGCAAAGCAGCTTAAAGCTATCAAAGCGAAAATAACTCTTCTCCCAGTGGTGAATGCATCGCAAATATTTGACAGTATGTATGCAAATAAAAATATCAGTGGGTTTGTATATTTGCCACCGTGTCACAAAGAATTTTTTTTTTTAAAAAAAAAAGTATGTGTGCCTCTCCTTTTTAAGTTTAGCAATTTCCAGATGAGATGCCTTTGATACTTTAAATACAAAGTTTGGCTATTAATTTCCAGGACTCATGGAATAACTCGGAAGAAAAAAAGCTTTAACACATAGCCATTTAATATGATTCAAAGTAATCCCCATCAGCCGTAGTGCACGTCTGTGTTTGGCTGTGCAAATTTCGGAAAAAAGTTTTAAAGTTCTCTTTTGAAATGCTCTTTAATAGTGACATTACACTTTTCTTGGTGGCTTCGAAATCTTGTTCCCTTCAGCGAATTTTTCAGCTTAGGAAACAGGAAAAAATCTGTGGGTGCTAGGTCTGGAGAGTATGGTGGATGCTGCATTTCAACGACACCATGCTGGGCTACATATCGCCTCACAGGCAACGCAGTGTGTGGGCGGACATTGTCATGTAGCAGTAGCCAACTCCCATTTTGTTGAAAATGAGGCCTCACTCTACGAATTCGTTTTCGAAGTTAGTCAAGAACTTCTGTGTAGAACTGTCCGTTGATAGTCATGTAAGGAGAAAAAAAATTCATGATAAATGAGTCCATCGCAATCGAAGAAAGCGATTAACATGATCTTGATTTTGGACTTTTCAAATCGAAATTTTTTCTGTCTTGGTGAACTTGGAAACCGCCATTCAGAGCTTTGACGTTTCGTTTCAGGCTCATATTGATAACACCAAGACTCGTCTCTCGTGACTATCCTATCCAGGAATGCAGGGTCAGCATCAGCGCTGTCGACAAGTTCGCTTATTCATCCCTTAAATGGTGAGGAACGAATCTGGAACAAATCTTGCGTTTGCCTAGGTCTTGCGTCAAAATTTGCCGAACCGTCTTTTTGTCCTTGTTGAATTCATTGGCGAGTACTCGAATAGTTAAATCGATGATCACATTTCACCATATCGCGAACTTTTTCAATTGCTTCCGGCGTGCGTACGGACTGCGGCCGACCTGTGTGGATCAATATTCGATGCTTTTGCGCCCGTCCCGAAAGCAGTTAAACCATTCAAAAGTTCTTGAGCGAGATAATGCTTCCTCGCCGTAAACTCGTTTTAACATTTTGTAGGTCTTGTTGCGGAAACCTCTAATGTTAATTCTTTGCTCCATATTCACTTTGATAATAGGAATTTAAGAGCTACGTTTTAATGTGCCTTTCCACGAGAACCACTTACATCAAAATGGCGTTGATTGCACTGCACATGTGCTAGAAAATGCTCTCCAATATGCAATCACTAGCGTCATCTATCGCAAATCGACTTTTCGTTCTCCTACAGTTATGTCAGTCCTGGTAATTAATAGCTGTACCTTGTATATATTTATGCTTTAATTTTTTTTTAAAGTTGTGCAATTTCTGAATGCGTTTGATACTTCAGTTTCGTAGTTATAGCACGCAGTGTTGTGTTATTTTCTCTATCGAATACTCAGTCATGAGAACATAACGCAATACTGAAACAAAATAATATTTTGAGAACTAAATTTGATAGCATATTCATAAATGAATCCGAACAATGGTTATTGTATTGCAGTTATTATGTGCCAGTTTTGTATATTAAGTTAACCAGTTCATTGACCGTTCCTTTAAAAAAATCTGGAGATATTTTTTTTATTTTTTTTATGGCTTTCTTTAACCTAGCAATTTACTGACTAGTGCATTAAAATTGTCAGAAATGATTTATCTGTGTTAGTATACCATAGTAATTATTAAGTTCTTGTGCAGATATCAGAAGAAACAGGCGCAGAAATTGATTGGGAAGAATGCCGAAAATACAATACTACAAAAAAAGGTAAGCTCTCCGTCTCTTTTGAGAGATTTTGTTTCCATGTAAAAATGTAAGTATTTTATACAGTGTTAGTAAAATAACATTTTCTTTGCGGTTAATTCCACAAGGACGAGCACCTTTGCAAGTGACCTGCTCTCTCTCTCTCTCTTTTTTTAAGAGTGTAAAACAAACTAAATATTGGGATTCAGCTCCATAATTACCATCTTTACAGAAGATCAAAATTACCTGGAATAGTGGATGGTCATTTTAGGTTGGGTATATGTTTAGCTTACTTAATTATTTTTTAAAGAAATAGATTTTAATTAATAACTTTAAAATCAGAATTTCTGAAGAGGATGCATCTATTTCACCATGTAATGTGAATATGGGATACCTCCCATGTGAACTTCTGTAAGGATTCAATTTGGCTACTGTAATTAGGAGTCAAATAGTACTCTAACCTGAACTGAGTGGTCTAAGTGGCCATTTGTTTAAACAGCTACAAATAATTCCCATAACTTCTCATAAACGACCACCTCAAAAAGTGAGTTCTATTTATTAGACCATAAAAAACATCAATATTCTGTATGATAAAAGCACAACTTCTTTAAGGTGACCATTTTCACTTTTGTCCAAAATTATCTGGAGCAGGGGTGGTAAAAGCTGGCCTGTTCTGAAATCCCTTGCAATGATTTGTTACCCCTTTTTCTACCCGATATTGTACGCAAACAACCAAAATCAGCAGCACGAGTGCACATCTATTGTTGCAGTGTATACACACATATATGTGCATGATTTACACTAGCAGTCAACCTAAGTTGAGAACACTAGATATGCTAGAAAGCATGTACATCCGCTGAATAATAAAGCTCCGTCATTTCTAGCAGCTTTAATGTAGAAATTAAACAAGGAAATATGAATATTGCTGAGATAGAAAGACTGATCAGAAAAGTAAGGTTGGTATAAGAATACAGTCAAAAGTCGTTAATTCGGCCACGCATGCGCATAGGCGTTTACGCGTGCGCGTAAGACCTTTACGGCTGCGAATATACATGTGCGCATGTGCATAATACGTTTACGCATGCGCGTTTAATGTAAAACGGACGGTATAAGCTAAAACTATCTATTTTTTATTTCAGTTAATGTTGCAGATTGCGTTGTTCCTTAATCAATCTTCGAATTGGATCGGACTTATTATTTTTTGCAGACTGTTTAGAGCAATTTTATAAAAGTAAGCTTGAACTTTGGATTATGTCAAATACATTTTCCGATGCTGGAGCTCCCAAAGGATCTACAAAGCGAAAGTATGTTTCGATGTCCAAGAAACAAAAAGAGGAATTGCTGCAAAAAAGGGATAAAGGCATATATCCTTTGATTATCTAATCATTCCGAAATATGTTTATCAATTTCACGCTGCTCTGCGGGGGGAGGGAAACGACACGTGCGCAATGAATTGGAAGTTGATCTGTCAGCACTATCCTTATCTTCAGAGCAGATGTTTTTATTTTATTTAGCTTATAATTCATTACTAAATGTAGTATTTCATCTCGTGTACTCAGTCTTTGATATGATTTAAATCAAGTTCCTCCTCATTATAATTCGCTTCCGATAGTGAAGAACGTGACTCAGAGGTTATTGAAAACGAAAAAATTTCGATTGACAAATTAGCTGATATTCTCGACACAGCAATTATAGGATTTGAACAGCGGAACTTTGTAAGTAAACAAGAAATTATGTCTGTTTAATAAATAGACTTAAAGAGAAAGTATTATCACATGAAACGAAGCAAATTAAACAACTTACATTGAAAGAAATGTTTAATAAAGTAAACAAATAAATATTTAGCTTTTTCTTTTTGTAAATTTTGATACCCTTTAGATCATAATTGCTGTTTATTTCATAAATTACGGTTTCATATTTTTAATTTTATAATTTCTGCATGCCATCTTACCAGATTTAAACTGATGATCTATAATCCGGAAAAATCGATAATCCGGAATCGCCGAAGTCCTGACGAGTCCGGATTAACGACTTTTGACTGTATTTCACCCATAAAGTTTTATTTAAAAAATGATGTTCCAGTTCAGATTTAGTTAGAACATTGATTTACAGTAGAATTATTTGTTAAAATAAAAAAAATAAAAAAAAAAAAAAAAAAAAAAATTAGTTTTATGTTTGAGTACAGGAAGAATAAATGTGGATCACAAATTGTTGATGAAAATTAATATTCGGTATTAAAGATTGCTAAAGGAAATTCGAACCTAATTTGGATAAAATAATCGCAAACGAACATTAGAGATTTCATATCTCACCTTAAGTGCAGGATAGTCGCAAAAAAAACTTCCTTGATATATAGCCCTAGTGGCCTGTCCGCCCAACCTATCGAAATTAATTTTCAGGTATTGTTATTTGAAAGTTTGCACTCGAGAATTTGATGACATATAACAATAGAACTCTCACAGTTACAGTGAAAAATTTTCGAATGATGGCACCAACATTTTCCATGCTCAAATTGATAAATGCTCTGAAAAGTCATTAATGGCGTTTAAACGCTACACGATTGTGATGAAAATTACCGTCCTTAAACATTTGCAAAGAATAGCATTGTAAAGGACCAGTGACAACACAGAGTGGAAGTGCATTGATGCACTTTGCACAATTCACAGGGACAGATCGGCAAAAACATAAGCCAAAACCATAAAATCTGTTCCTCATGTTCTATAAAATCTGTACGTGATTTGGTGTTTGGTGGGGAAAAAAATGAGGAAACTGGATGGACCGAAATCGGGATGACTGCATGGGAAGTTGTTGCTGAAGTGCATAATACGATTATTGCAGGCTCATTCTATAATGCAAGAAGTGTTGCCGTCAGTTTAGATGTACTGAAGACCTTCATCCGCAAGTTTCTGCGCTCTATTCTGAGGGTAGGTCCCTGCCGATTCCAGTGCGTCCAGATATTTCAACTTGGAGACGAGTAACAGTGTACTAACTTTGTAATTTTTTCCTCATCAGAAATGATGAAGATAGTACGTGGCCGTAGTTTTTTCCTCATCAGGAATGATGAAGATAGTACGTGGCCGCTGCGAATATTATGGACAGATGAGGCACATTTTTCTTTTAACTGGTTGTTAAAGAATATTCTTTGATATTGCCAAGAGATGGCGTTAAGAGTCCATCTATTGGCTTACTTAACCCTTCCCCTTCTGAACACATGACTTGGAAAAATATTCTTCTTCTTGAAGGTAGAATTTCGATGCACTACGCAATAGAATTCGATTTAGATTCTTTGATGGAACTATTCAGTTCTTGCTTTTTGAGTCTTAATATTCGATTCAGGCATTTTAGCGTGCATTTGTATGTATGTAAATATTAAGTTTAATTAAAATTTATGGAAAACCCTCCAGGCTATGCCATGCATCTCACTTTTGGATTATGAGTGATTCAACTGATCTAGAATACTTTCATTTCACTGGTAACTTAAATTCTAAGAACTGCCTGCACTGGGCTGATGAAAATCCTCATGATGTGATATTAGCGCCTTTATATGAAGCTGAAGTGACTGCTTGATGCGGCATCACAAGCACATTTCTTTTCTGTTCGTACTTCTTCGGAGAGGTCACTTCCACAGGTGTGAGAACGGGCTGCATGACAAGTTCTTGGTATACAGCAATGTTGCAGAATTACATAATTACAGAATTGCAGCAGCGAAATGTCGTTAATGACATTGTATGGACGCTAGACGGCGCTTCTCCTGATGTCGTCACGTGATTGGCAAGTGCATCAGCAGCACCTTGGAGACATCCCGTAACTTTGAAGCTTTTCGTGGTCACCGTGATCCTCCGACCTCAGTCCGATAGATTTGTGATCTTGGTGTTGTCCGAAATCTAAGGTGTGCACACCAAGAGGGATTTGTCATAATTGAAATTTGCCGTAAAACGTGAAGTTATGCTGATTCCTCCTGCGATATTATGTTCGTCTGTATTGGCAACAATCTCGCATGCAGCGAATTATCATCTGCGAAGGTGGACATGTTGGAAACTTTAGTTACAATAAAAGCCTTTTTTTCTCCCTTTCACTCTTTTGTGCTATGGTCCTTTATAATGCTCTTCTTTGCAAATGTTTTATGCGAGAAATTTTCGTCATATGTGTATTGTTTCAGCGCTATTTATGATTTTTCAAAGAACTGCACAGGAAAAATGTGATTGTTGCTATTCGAAAAATTTTCCGACTGTATCTGTAAGCATAAGATTCTATTGTTTTTAAATTTAAATCATCACAATCTAGAGTGCCTGCCTTCAAATTACAAAATTTCATTTCGATTAGTTGTGGATAGCCGCTAGGTGTCGGAGAAGTTTTTTTTTTTTTTTATGATCATCCTGTGTATATTAATAATTCCTTTTACAACACAGAATTTGTAATTAACGAATGTATGTGCAAAGTTATATATTAAAAAAAATTATCATTCATCGATGCCTTTACTTCCTTCATATTTCTTGAAATTTAGTTGTACATTCTGTTTTTCCATTGGCTGACCCACATGCAGGTTCATTGTGACCCCGTATGCACCATCTAGGATTAACTTAAAAACAATGAAATTAAATGCATAAACTACTCTTTTAGATTAATTAAAAAAAAAAAAATTCTACGTGGAGGAGTGTTCTTCCCAAAGCATTGTGGCAAAGAGTAGAGACACCGCAAAAGGTTTTTGTACGAGAATCATCTCAGCTTATGGCGTCCTGCCAGCGTAATAACTTACCTTTTTGACTCGAGGTTAAAAGTATTTGCCCACCCCTGATCTAGAGACTTGGATGGAATGACAGACAGGATTAACTTAAAAACAGTGAAATTAAATGCATAAACTACTCTTTTAGATTAATTCTTTTAAAAAAAATTTCTACTTGGAGGAGTGTTCTTCCCAAAGCATTGTGGCAAAGAGTAGAGACACCGCAAGAGGTTGTACGAGAACCATCTCAGCTTGCGGCGGTCCTGCCAGCGTAATAACTTACCTTTTTGACTCGTGGTTA